CTCCCCATGTCATCATGGGTACTCTGGTTTCCCCCCACAGTCCAAAGAGGCTAATTGGGGTTACTAAATTGCCTGTAGGTGTGAATGGTGTGTGATTGTTCCCTGTGATCCTGTGTGCCCCATCCTGGCTGTTGAATTGGCTCTGGACTCCCGATAACCCAATAGGATGAACGGTTTTGATTCATCATATTTGAATATATATCATAAATTCCTGTAGTGTTTTTCATGTTGCTATTGGTATGAAAAGTCCTTAAGACACACAGACACCTACAGTTAATGCATCATTGACAGAAACTTAACCCTGAACTTTATCTTCCATTTTCAAAACCTTGTCTCTAAGTTATCCTCTTCTAACTGGAAAAAAACTCTTTTTGGCGGGCGGCATTCTAAAACGCTTAATGTGAAAAAGCTTAATGTGGTTTAATGTATCAACACAGCGACCAATAATCACCAAATTTCCCACAGACATATCTGGTCATAAAGACTTTAACCTGACAACAAACCTAAACCGAAATGCTAGGAATATGGACTTTATCTTACGTTAAATGTTTTCTTCTCCTTTGACGTCCATTATAAGGAAAAGGCTTAATGTGGTTTAATGTACCAAAACAGCAACCAATGATCACCAAATTTCTCACAGACATATCTGGTCATAAAGACTTTAACCTGACAACAAACCTAAACCGAAATGCTAGGAATATGGACTTTATCTTACATTAAATGTTTTCTTCTCCTTTGACGTCCATTATAAAAAAAAGGCTTAATGTGGTTTAATGTACCAAAACAGCGACCAATGATCACCAAATTTCTCACAGACATATCTGGTCATAAAAACTTTTCTTTCAAATCCAAAATATTAGGAATATGCACTTTATCTCACATTAAGCCTTTTCCACTGACGCCCACTGTAAGACAAAAGAAAGCATTAAAAAAAGACAATAATAAATGTAAGGTATTCACATAATTAGTTTTTTAAATTATTATTAGCAGACGCTCTCTTCTGACTACAGGAACCTCTATGTAGGAAACCCGCTGGACTTCCAATGGACCTCCATCCAATCAGCATCCTCCATTAGTTATTGTTCGCCTGCATAGGAGGGGCCTAATGTAGCAGACACCCCCTGGAGACTAACATGCTGGATAAGCAGTTTTTTAGTAGGCAGAAGGAGTGAATGTTGTCGCATTATTTAAGATTTAGGATTTAAGAAGTTTGTGGGTTCATTGGTAGGTATGGTTCTATATTTATGTTACTTGGAAATTATTTGGAATAGACCGTTTGTGATTTGTTTTTTTAATTGCACTTTATGTAGCATACT